TCTCTTTTACATACATACATACATACATACGTGTTTATGTATGTGCATCTGTACATTTACCTGTTGCCGCTGCTGCGGCATCTTTCTGCTTTCTGCCACATAGTAGTAGAAAGTTCGGTGGGCAGTCAGGTAGAATGATTCATGGCTCACCTGTTCCAGATTAACTGCTGCAGTTCACTTTTAACGGCAGTCCAGTTAGAAAAGATGCGGCTTGTGCATGTGTCTGCATGTGTGTGTTAATTTAATTATCAATTGCAGGCGTGTAATTTGCTTTGTTTTCCTTAGATTAATGACTTTCGAACTTTGAAACCAGTTAATGACGGGCACACGAAACTTCTACTTGACTGATATCAGTCATCAGATATATCAGGTATACATGTGTGTGCATGTCTGTATATGTATGCATGTGTGCATGTATGCATGTGTGTAGATGTACGCATGTGTGCATGCATGCATGTGTGTATATGTATGCATGTATTTTGTAAGTCAAAAAGTTATTAGGTCTTTACCGTTTGCTATAGGCATGTATGTATGTATGTATGTATGTATGTATGTATGTATGTATATATGTGCTTAGAATAGACCCCCCTTCAATTGACGTCAATTCTGTGTGGCCTGAGTTTAGCCACTCAGCGAAACAAAGTGAATGAGTTTCCTATTTGATTAGACATAATCAAATATGGAATATAGCGACATACATAAATATAAGAGTACATATAAACAGATTTATAACAAGTGTTTTTATTTACAATAAATTAGCAGCTGTGTTTTGCGCTGTGACGCGACTTATCAGCCCGTTTTTCATTGTGACTGATGAGGTCTTTTTACACTTCTGCGTATGTATGTATGTATGTATGTACTTAAGTTCGGTTCAATAAAAATCTGCATGTGTGTAATTACATTTGTATTTACGTACGCTTCAAAAAATATAATCTAATTTAATTGAAAAAATATCATATATATGTGCAAATGACAGTTAAGGTTTAATTTGCACAGATTGACCGTGTGTGCCAACCAGTGTTGCCAACTGAGTTATTTTCTAGCGTAAATGTGCTATTCTCAGCGGTTATTAGCCGAAAACAGTTGAAATTTGGCTATTTTTAGGCAGCCCAACGAACAAGCCATGGCAACCCTCTATTGGCAATTTGTGCTTAGCAACCGAATTCAGCTATTTTTAGCTATTTACAACATTGGATTCAGCTACTTTTTTGAAGCAACGCTGACGTAACCAGCTGTCTGAGCGACCAATTAAACGGCTTCAGAGTACAGTATGAATTCCAAACAAAACACCACATCCCCTTCATTAGTCGAAACTACCCCCACCGTGAGCCATGTGCATTTCCCAGTTATCCTCTTTCGAAGCCTACCCGCTGTACTATTGCGGTAATTTGTGAATATTATATGTATATATGAGTTTATACAGGTTGCAGAAGGTAGATACGATCCAAGGGAAGCAGATCTAATGCGTATTTGTTACGGGCAGAATCTGACATCAGTCCTTAACTGAATTTGTTACGTTCTTTTGCGATCAATTTATATTAAAATTTCGGGTAATGCTCCCCATACTTATCTAATCAATATTATATCGCCTGATCGGAAGACGGGATATGATTCATATCTTCGCTGTTTTTGCGACAAAAAAATATATATATATATAAAATTGTGAAAGAACATCCAGAATAACCTTGAAATAACGTATACCCTTACACTGATAAGCTGTTCCATTAAGGTGTCATAAAATGGCCAAAAATTTTCCATATTTTAATATTTTGATTTTTTTTTTTTTAATATTTTCGTTTACTGTGCGGAAGCTCGCTTTGGGTTTGAATTAAGGTGGCAATATAAATAAATATTTGTCGATCTCTTGTATTATCTTTGTATTTATGAACGGAATGCGATTGCCTTTGAATTAGGGTCGGAACATTAAAGGCATTCACAAGTCACAAACAACAAAAGGGGATTCTTATCAGCTGGGTTTTCAGAAAGAAAAAAACAGCTGCTGCCACACGCAAAACTATAACATGATGTGCAAAAACAAAACAATCGTTGCCTACGTATATATATGTATATATATATAGAGAGAGAAGTGTGTTTTATAGTGGCTTATCGGTTAAAATGCTCGATGGAGGCCAAACTAACACTTATACAACCCAATCAGCACGAGGTGCACACGTCATTTCCTATCGCCTAACTAGGTAGCCAGCAATCTTGAATTGACATCGTTGACATCAGAAATGATGCTAAAGTGCGTGGACTATATACATACATATGCTAAATACGACTTGATTAATTTAAGATGAACACTAATTGAATGGCACATTTTTCGGTCACATCCCATTATAGGTAGCATGACTTCCGATTTCTTTCGCGTGGTGAACGAGGCGCGCCGGCACTCGCTTGGGCCCTTCAGTCCGTCGTTCAATATACAGACCTGCCTGCTCGAGGGCCTCCAGAAACATCTGCCCGATGACGCACATAAGCGTGTCAGCGGACGTCTGCACATCTCACTGACACGGGTGTACGACGGCAAGAACGTGATAATCTCGGAGTTTGCGTCCCGTGAGGAGGTGCTGCAAGCACTTCTTTGTGCCTGCTTTATTCCGGGCTTTTCTGGAATTTTGCCACCGCGTTTTCGGGGCGTGCGGTATATGGACGGTGCGTTCTCAGATAACTTGCCAATCCTGGACGAAAACACCATTACTGTCAGCCCTTTTTGTGGCGAGAGTGACATTTGTCCGCGCGACCAAAGCTCGCAACTATTCCACCTTAACTGGGCCAACACAAGCATCGAGATATCACGGCAGAACGTCAACCGCTTCGTACGCATTCTGTTCCCGCCGAGAGCCGAGTTCCTCTCAAAGTTCTGCCAGCAGGGATTTGATGATGCACTGCAATTTCTGCATCGCAATAACCTAATCAACTGCAGACGTTGCATAGCTGTTCAGTCCACGTTTGTAGTTTCTGAAACAGTTGCGACATCGCAGGAGATAGAATCAGAGGAATGCCGCGAGTGCAAAAAGCATAGAAAGGTACGACTTATATATATATATAATGGCCCATCAGTCCATAATAATCACCTATTCTCAATGTTTCAGGATGCGTTAAGCTCAAATATGCCGGAAACCGTGTTGGACGTTATACAAGACTATTTGGAGCAGGCTAACAAGGGTTTGGCCAATTGGATCTTTAAGCATCGCGGAATTAAATTGCTTTCGCTGCCGGCTACAGTCCCGATGGACTTCTTTCTGGCCACAGTATCGAAGTAGGTTAATTCGATTGTCCGTTACGGCCAGTTTGATTAATATTCTTTAATTTATATCATTTAGAATCACCACCTTAACACCAAAACTGACAAAACAGATGCGTCAAATAGCTGAAGAGTTTATTGTTCAGCTTAATAATGCCATGACAGTTCGTTTTCTCAACAAGTTCTCGGTAAGTATTTACCTTTGCCCCTGTTGAGTATACAACTAATTTCTAACCCAAACGCACAGCTCTACGATCAGCCACACTTTGATGCAACCGGCCTTCTTCACTCCAACCATTTGTATAACCCACATGTTTCAATTCTTGTCGATAAATGGTAATTAAGTTTGCAAAACCCTAAATTAACCTATTGTCCTAACTTTCCACTCTTACGCAGTGATACAACACCTTTAGATAGCGATGTCGGGCATGTCATTGAGATGACTGCGCATAACGACGCGCTATATGCGTACTATTACACAGATAATAATACCAACAATATAAAAGTGACCGAAATATTCGATTTTGATGACATGACGAAGCATGAACTCTCTACCGATTTGCAAGTCTACAATGGGTCAGTCGATGATCATGAGGTTGCGCATCAGAAGGGTTATAATCCAGAAGTCAGCGAATGGAACGGCATTGAATCGGGTTAGTAGTCAAATCTTGCATCGCAAAGGTTTTTATAATAACTCAAACTAACATATATTGCAGTTCAAATTATGCCAACGAAACCTGAATTACACGACGTCGCCTTTTAAAGCCCATCTCGACCGCACATTGTAACAATTTCCAAACCACTAAATTATTAACATTTGAGTATTTAAGGTAAATTGGCTTTATTTATGTTTATTGAAACTTGTTGGCAATTTGGATGAATATGAATTCATTTCCCTCAATTGTTATACCACACAAACAATACATAAATAACTATTATTTAGTGGACTCTTTAATCACCTCCTTACTTTCTTTTCAGACTATTTTATAGACGAACATACGCCGAATACTAGCCCATTGGCGACGCGTATCGCGTGACCGTAGTCAGTTTTCCTGAGGCTGAACAAGGTTTAACCGAGTTGTACATAAATATATGTTGAATACCCAAAATTGTATATGCTTCAGTTATAGTCTTTTTTTATAATTTGTAACGCAACGAACCCAAAGTGGCTTGTAGCCAAGCATTTGTTTGCTTTAAAACATATATTATATTATAAAAACCTGAGTACCTAATTAACTTATATTAAATAACCAAAATGTACAGTATGACCTACTTTTAAGTTACAAAAAAAAAATGTATAATGTTATAAGTTAATGAATTATGTTAAGGTGGTATGTAATAGAAGGAAACAAAATAAAAATACAAAAGCTAAGAAAACTCAATGATTGAAAAGTTGTTAAATTTATTGTTCCCATCAACAGATAGTTATTCTACCCGTTCGATAAGTTATTTATATTATATACCCATCCAGTAAGAAAAGCTTGTGTATATATAGTTCTATTACCCAATCAAAATGGATTAAAAAAGCTATATTGGATTTGCCCAAATGTATATTCTATCTAAAAGGTATGTCCATCCCATAGATATATATATTTTCGATCGGAACGATGAGTTTAGTTGATTTGGTCATGTCCGTCTGTCGCGTAGTTTTTGAAAACTATACCTATTGCAATGAAGATTGCATCTAGGATTCAAGACGTGCAATCTTCATTGTAAATTATTGAAACGGAAACAATTTTCATACCTGTTTTATTTGATGAGTATTATGTACGTACAATTTGGTTCACTGCAAATTTGGCTGTCCACACTAGACTAAAATGAAGGAGATGGAAAACACTTTACAATGAGCTTCGAGCTGACATTTTGCTTTCCCGACGACTTGCACTCAGTTTTAGATAAAGTCGCTCATTCTGAGCCATACACGTTTCCACAAAATCAATTATTTCTGGACTATGTAGCTTCTGAGCAATTTTGAGAGCTTTTCGCAAAACTTCTTTTGTGCGCTCAGTTTTGTTAAGAGCTGCACTCGACTTGACAATGATAATGGTGCTTAGGAAACTCCATAAGTAGCTGTTGCAATTTTTAGTTTCTAAGAAAAGTTTTTTTTTTTTTTGTAGTTTTGTAGATTATTTAAATAGTTAATAAGGACTTGTCTAACCTTGAATTGCCTTGCGAGCAACAAAACCGCACTCATCATAGCGATTGAATTGAAGATGAATGCTAGCAATTTGGTGAAGTAAATAGCACTTTTCGATTGAGTGTTTTGCGAATATCATGCGTTTCTCCAATCGCGCAATCATTTGTCTGTAAGAAATGAAATTCTATAAATTGTTTTATATACAACGTAGTATTACCTCGATTTTGTGATGGCGGGGTCTACAATATCCTGATCCTGATGTGTGGATCGGTCTCCAAATACAAACTTAGAGATTTCCATTGTTTTATTCATATTAAGGTGCAATAAGTGGTGAAGAGGATTTCCAGTTGTTTGCTTAAAGTTTTTAGGCACATAGTACTGCTCGGCCAGAGCCAAACCCAAAGTGTTGTATACTTCATTAATGAACTCAATCTTCCATGGCATTATGCGATTAGTTTTCAGCACAACATAGTTTCCCATTATCTCCTCGATATAACTGGCAAGTCTCTAAAAATATAAGAAAAAATACGTGAATAGCTTCTTTTAGAAAATTGTATCAATATTAATGGACACACAGATATCACACAACAAAATTGTCTGAAATATTATATTATATATATTATACAGACAACAAACAAAGCTCCAAAAAACAGTTGCAGTGGGAAAACCTCAGCATATACATACTACATTTGTCTTTGGCATGCAAATGGGCAAATTTTGGCAACAGCATGAAATATTGTTAATTAGTTCAATGAAAATGGTCAAAATTCAACTGGATCAGTCAGAATAATTTTGCAGCATATATCTGTTGTTATTAGAAACAATATAATTCTTACCGTCAAATTTTTTTCTGTACGAAGACGTCTAATAGTTTCTAAAGCAGTTATCATATTTCGACGTGTCTGGTACTGTATTCTAAAGAGCAGGGCTTCTTGGAACTTGCGCAACCGGTCCATGTTTGCATATTTTTTGTACCGCACATAGTATATCGGAGAGCGAGCATGTATCATTTTCTAGGGTCATACAAACTGATTACATTTTAGGTTCAATAATAAATGTTTATTAAGGCATACCAAAAACTTCTTAATGACTTCATATTGATTTTCAGTTAAAGATCTTAAGACGCCTTTGGAATTTTTGCACTGGTCCAAGAGTAAATTTGGATTGCTGAAATCATAATACATGCATGTATATTACAAATAATGTCTTTTCGCTTACAATTAAAATGTTTAGAAAACGTACTCTCTTAAGTTCTTCAGAAATAGAATGTCTATCCATGTTCTATCTATGTAAACTTGATTACATATATCAAATGCACGCTTTCTTCTCGCTATTTCTAGTGGGGACAGTATTTGTTCCTAAATGCATAAAACAATTAAAGCCAGTTTGGCACTTTGATATAAGAAGAAACAAACTTTTATTTCTGGAATGCTTAAGATATCGCATTTGCCTTGTTCCTTTAATTTTTTCCAGAGCGGGCGATTATCAACTCTCGCTTTTTCATTAAGAAGTTCCTTCACGAGGGACATGACATTTTCATTATCCAAAATAAATGGGCTCAATCCATCGCCGCAAGCGTCTTTTATATTCTCATCAACCTAAGAAATATTTAGCTTAAAATATAGCGTAAAAATGGTAAAAACTTTTTTTATATATTACATACCACATGCAATCGATTTTCGAAGGCCTTCGTCTTGTTGCCCGTAAAGATACGTGTATTATTATATAATTCTGCTTTGGCATTTTCAAACTGGTTTAGCTCGTACAAAGCATCGCAAACTTCCAGATTAACTGGTGCATTTTGCACAGATACATTTTTTAAAAGTCCTTAATAAAATAAAAGCGTTCAAAGATTAGCTCTTATAATTTTCGAGGCAAAATAAAGTCTTAAAATCAATATAATTGGACACTTTCAGGACATGTTTTTTCTTCCAATTCACAATATAACTCGTTTACACATTTCCCACCCGTGATAAATCGATTTAACACAGAAATTTTAATAAGATAGAAGTCGACCGGATATAACGTGAGCCTAAAATAAATGTATCTTAAAAAATGTGGTGATTATCAAACAGCTTAAGTAAAACTTCTCCTAGAAACTGAAGATTCTCTGAGATAAAATTGGCCTCACAAGCGAGTCGATAATTCTTATTTATGTATAAATTCACACTTACTTTGGGCTTCCCGGCTATCTTTTAGTGCGCTCTCTATACGTGCAGTCTTACGCCTACTCTGACTGCGATGGTAGAGAGTCGCATGATCATTTGGAGAGAGCTTAAGTGCCTTGTCATAATAGTTCATTGAAATACTTTCCCTGCGTCGTCGAGAATAGTATTTTCCCCAGTCCTTATATATTCCCTGCTCCACTTCCGGACTCCAATCTATTTTCTCCCATACTGGAATAGCTTCTTGAATACCAGATTGTGGTGCTCCTGTTAGTACAATGGACGGCATGGTTTTTTTTTTTTTTATATTTTATTTTTTTATTTTATATTGTTTTTTTTTATTTTTTCTACTTTTTTTCTTTTTTGTTTTTCCTTTTTTGTTGCTCTTCAACATGAAAAGGAAACATAATGAGCATGAGATCTGAAACTGTCAAATAAATTAAATTCTGATGATTTTAATTCCAATGGTGTACAGATTAGGCATGTTTGTAGCCCCGAACCTATTGAAAATTAAAAAAGGAGTTGAGAAAATCACACGGTATCTCCGCATCGACTCTTACTTGTTTCTTCAATTGTGTTCTATGGGAAATGACAGCCAGCGGCATATATATATTTTGTTTAACTAGTTTACTGGAACCATACAAATAGATGGAAGGCCCGTGAATCATCATAAGAAATATTAAACAGACATGTGATGTCTCCTTCTTAAAAATATGATAGTACCTTGTGTAAGAGTATAAAAATCAGCAATGCTTGACGATGCATTATATTATACATATTGCCCATAGTATATGCCTTCCGATATCAAATTACAGCTCAAACTCGACTTTAACACGTTTGTTAACATGGTTTTCAGCAAGAATTCAATTGATGAAAATAACTTGCTTTAAATTTATTAAAATGCCATTTTAAAAAATTAATAATTTTACATGTTTTATAAAAAGTTGTAGAAAGCAAGTAAAAATGCCTTTACAAATAATGAAGCCTTACTTTACTGTCGACCGATGCGTCTCATGACAATTAGGTAAATGTCTAAATCAGTATAGACTTGGATCTTTCAAATCAACATATGGGATTTGAGATCTCTTTCAATGCCTTACACATATCGTGATGAACACCTTGGGGCATTCTTTAGACACTGTCTTAAGCTAAGAGTTAATTAATTCATACGGTACAGCATCTGAGTCTCAATATCAAATTACTATCTTTAAAAGACCTTGCTCTCTTACTAAAGCCTGTAGCTATACTGATCAAGAGTTGCATGTCTACGTATGTATATTATACATTTTAATAGAATTGATATGAAAGCGACAAATATCAGCAAAAGTTATCGCTTGATTAACCACAAATAGTCTCGCCAATATATAAAAGATGTAGCATATTTATTATGAGTCGTTAGTCTCTCGAACGGCAATATTCGAGAAGAACTAAACATCGAGGCATAAACTTTAAACCTTAATGGTTGTAAGCGTGTGCCCTCATTATAGTTGGGATTTTTTAGATCAGCAGTTATTGATATATATATATCGTAAATCTTCTACTGGCCTACTAAGTCTCAATATAATGGGAGTAAAAACCTCAGTATAACTTATGTGTGACTAAATTTAATCAATAAACCCAATGGAATCTATATAAACTAAGCCAAAGGCAACCCAAGGAAGAAGCGGGATGTGCCGTGTTTAAAGCGCTATTCATCGCTCTAGTTGTATTCTAAATTAAATAACTTGTTAACAGAGACGCTGAATATATTCAATACTATTCACGCAAAACATACAATGGATATAGATCAAGTGCGATCTAGATCATGAAAACAAGTCAAACTAGGAATTTCTTTAGTGATCTTTCGAATGGACATGATACACGAGGGAGTCCGCATAAGAGATCGCACTTGAGCCTCATCAAAGTAGAAACCTTTAGTTTTTCAACATCGTTACGTGATATATACATAGTATTAAATTTATTTTATGACATGTCACGTCCAACAGCGACGCAATAATTGGCAGAATGCCAAAATATTGATGTTTAAAAACATTTGAATCATTTTTGTTAATGTTAATGTGTTACAAAAACACAAGTGCAAAGAAAAAATTAAGAATCTAAAACAAGCAAATATTTTGTGCTGAAAACAGGTTTATACATTGAAAACAATTTTATCGACATAATTTAATATACTTAATTGAAACATCTAGTTCAGTGGAAAGGTGACATCAGGTTTGATAGATGCAGAGTTGTGAACTACCGAAACGCATAAGCGGTTGTTGTAGCTCAAATCACGAAGCAGCTGAGAAACATAGGATAAATGTGACAGCTTCAAGACGTAAACTCTTATTAAATATCACTTACCTTGGGCGTAACAAAAAGATATTGTGCAGAACCCTCCTTAGTGGCCTCTTTTAAAAGTAAATTAAAAATATGGCGTTCGTTTTTAGCGTCCATGCCTTGATTAATCTCATCAACGCACCTGCAAAACACAATATATTAAAAGTTAGCAAATTTTATTATTAACAATCTTGGTCAAAGCTTTCAGGAACTAAAACTACAAATATAGATTTCAATGTAAGCAGCCCATTTGGAGGCAGTGAAACACCTTGGTAATCATGAATTAGAAGGATAACACCTATGCCTGGTATTTCGAAGTCGGCCCTGCAAGGATTACTATGGACACTCCTCATAGGAACTTTAAACAATTGTTAACTAATTAAACATAAGCTTAACTTATTGTGTAGCTAGTTGTTTACCTGAATGGCACATGTGTAACGTGCTGTAATGACAAAGAATAGATTGCAATGGCCACGGCACGTTCTCCACCGGATTGAACATATTTATCCAGAGTCTGTAGCTTTGCATCCTTCCTATACTGCACCATGATTTGTATGCCATACGAATCAAAATCGTTCTGAAAAAGTATATAGACAAGTATATAGTATATAGATTATAAGGAACTGAACAGGAATTGCCTGTGCGATCGGATACATAGTAAAATGCACACTTAATACTTATGTTATTGTGCACGGAGTACAGGTTTAATTTCATACCTTGTCATTTCTCGACAAAACAACTTCCCCAACATATGCTATTGAGTCCATGAATTCGCTGAACTTTTTGTTTATTGTCTCAATCAATGCGGTTAGTTGTGGTTCCCACTTGTTGTATAAGATTGATATTTCGGCTTCTACATTTTTTTCTTCATTTGATTTGCCTTCGATGAGTTTCTTTAATTGTTCCACCTCGTTTTGGCGCTGACGAAAATCCGCAATTGCCTGTAATAATGGAAAATGATTTGAGACTTTCTAAAGTTAAGCACAATTTTCTAAATCAATATTACCTCAGAATTTAAATTCTTCATGCACTCTAATCTAGCCTGAAACTCGACTATAGCTTCGTAAATTTGTTCCACATTTAGGTTTGATAACTGTTCAAAATCTTTTTTAAATGGAAAATCGTTACTATTGGGCAGTTGGCCATTGCAAAGGCGCTGCACTTCCACTTTTTTTGATGCAATATCCTTAACTTTGACTTGCAGTGATGCAGATAACTTGTCGACTATATTCTGCAAATGTAAATACGTTAGGTTGCGGCATTGTCCTTTTAAATTGCACTTACAGAAGCGTTCTTAAATTGATCTTCACTCTCCTTGAGCTTATTAACTTGAGATTCATATTGCTGGTTATGTGCACTTTCTAATGTTTCGCTCAATTTCTTTGTCTGCAGTAATTTGTCTGTGCACTCTAGAATCTTGATCAATTTTCTCTCGATTTCGAATATTATTCTTATATCCGAAAGCACGGACTTTTTAAAAGTTTCTTTGAGTTTATCCGTAGCTAAAATGAAGAAATGCATCAAAAACTTGAAAACCTTGATATTTGATTTACATACAAGTGAATGACTTATTGATTGTGTCGATTTTTAGCTGTAGCTTTTTCACTTCATCCTCCAAATTACTATAGTGCGCCAATTTCTGTTCAATTTTTCTTTTGGTCTCTCCTTCCTGGCGAAGAACTATTTGCAGGCGGTCGAATTCATTATCGATCTCTCTTAAATTGTTTCTAATTTGGTCCTTTTCAAATATGGATTTGTTGTGTCTGAAAATATATAATTAGTATTCGTGCCATTATAACAGTGCAAAATATAATAAAAAATCGAATAAAGTTTATTTTTACTCGCCTTTCTTTTAGAGACGTCAATTGTTTTGAATCAATACTAATTAGCTGGTTTTTTCTTCGAATTGTGCTCTCGGTAAGTATAAGATCAGATCGATATCGTGATGTTGTCACAGTAAACTTTTTAGTGCCTGAAATAGATGAAAGATGAAAGAAGAAGCCTTAGAGATAATTCTCATTCCCTATGCATTTTCTTTGTGCCCAAAACAAATTTATTAATTTACGATCATCGATTACTTACCTCCGAAATAAATTCGAATTGATTTGGGAACGCAGGCAGTAAAATTACTAACTTCATCTTTGCCAATGGGAATATTATGAATTTGATAGCTTCCGCAAAGCTTGTTTATTAGTGGTATCGGCCCAGATACCAGATCAACAAGATACGCATCGAAGCCCATTTGCCTGTGATTAAAGTGATTACTACGAAATGAAGATTAGTCGGCTAATAATGCTTACCTAATTTCTGAAATTGGAACAGTAGACGTAAACATGCACGTGTCTGCTGGGGCGCAGTACATAACATTTACGGATAGCTTCTGCTTCACGCATAATTCGTTAATAAGATCAGACATGTCACTCTTGTCCTCACATGCAAAGGCATATAAGTCGCGCTGCCTAACAACGTTCTCTAAATACATGGCTCCTTCCTCACTTTTAATGCTCAGCTGAAACAAAGGAGACACTAATTTACTCTACCAATAAAGATAAAGAATATACAGGTCTTTGGCAATGCTCATTTTGCCACTGGATAAACATTAACAAATAAATGCAGCACCCATTTCTACAAACGGTCGTTTATATAGGTACATACCTCAAATACCATGGGATCATATATGCTACACTTATATTTATGTTTATTTTGGGCTACCCAATTCATAGCTTTGACCAAGTTCGGATTACGAAGGCGCAGCTCCTGAAAATTGGTTTAAAAAAAGGTAAGCATATAAAATATAAGTAGCTTTCTTTACCTACTTCTATCTTTTGTGCTTTGATGTTTTGCAATCGCTCTATCTTGTGACAGAGAGCTGTAATTTCGGGAATTTTTTCATCGTTCAGCATTGTTTCAAGTTCTCTTCGCTTATTATACTGGTTCATTGTCGTCTCACGAGTTTTTTGTATCTTTTTCTTTTGTATCTCCAATTCATTTAAAACCTCAGATTTTTCATTGTTAAATTGCTGCAACTCGTGCCGTTTAGTTTCCACCAAATATTTTATTTTATCCACTTCGCTTATACTTTTGGCCGACAGCTGAATATTTCTCTGTAATACACATACTAATATTAGTTACATAGCACTAAACATAATCAAATAAACCAACCTCTAAATCGCATTTGCTTTCATTAATTTTGTTTTTTATGGCTTCCAATTGAGAAGTTAATTCTCTTTTCGTAACCATGGCTTGAGTTATTCGCCGACTCTGAATGAAATGAATTAATTTTAACATTTACAAAGGTCGAATTTTTTGAACATACTTTTTCAATTGTTTTTTCCTTAAGTTCTGCATTTTTTCTTGAAATTCCTTCTTGTGATCGCTTTTCAAGTTCATACGCGTTCTTCAGACTTTGACAATTTTCTTTCGCTTTATCCAATTCACTTTTATAACTATCGATCTTTTCTTCAGCCAAAGTTACTTCAGACCATAATTTTTTCGCCTTATAAACGTTTAACTTCTGTAATACTTCTTGGCGTTCCTGGTATTGATCTACCGAAATCTGTAACCTGTAATGAAGTTTTTTAATTATTCAAAAAGTAGCACGTACGTATATTCAGAAAAAAGAACTTACTGCTCCAATCGTTTTTGTTCTTTTAGAAGTTTATCGTTCTCCCTCTCTCGGTCTGCATGAGCGCCTAATTGCTTTATTCGCATATTTTTCAGATCGATAAAGTTCTTTATCAACTGATTGTCGCACACGGAGGACATGGTGTTGACTAAAAGCTCTTGCGGATTCATTTTAGAAAAGTCCTAAAATTGTAAGAATTGTTAGCATAATACTGTACTATGGACTTAGTCCTTGAATTGTAAAGATGGAAAATATAATAATAAACTAGAATTCTCAGAGCTATGGCCTTGGGTTTTCAAGAATTACAAATATATAGAATGACAAGGAAAACATACCTGAACACGATCCTGTGGTAAGAACTGGCACAAATTGCTGACTTGAATATTATAAGTTGCAATAATGGCCAGATATTTTGACTTTGACAACTCCTTGGAGTTAACAAAATATCGAGATTCTCCATTGTGATTTATCGTACGCTTGAAAGCTTCGACAGAGTCCTTTTGTTTTCCATAAATTGTGATTACAATAGTTGCAGAGCTTTTACTGCTTTTAATATAATCAGAGATACTAGAGGACCGATCCAACAACTGTGGATCACCGCCCAGTCCCAATATAATGGCTGATACAATTGTCGACTTGCCCGTTCCATTTGGTCCTGTCAAAACGTTTAGATACTCTTTGGGGAAGTATGTTATTTCCGAATATGAGCTGAAATAGAAATATATATAAATACAAATTCCAAAAGTAATTTAGATGCACAGAGAATGATATGAAGACGAGTTTGCCTGGTTGTGCATTGTACCCAACTATTGAGGTCGGAGATGTTTCCTTATGTTACAGGACATACATATGTATGTCATTGTATCACGATATTATATAATTGCCATAGGGAATGATTGGTCGGAAATTGATATATAAATCTTATCAACATTGGAACAAAAATTGAATATTTATATAGAGTACACTAGCACGTCTGCAAAGCCGCAAGCCATGCATATTGTTTACAAGGGTATTCAGTCTTCTGCGTGCCCAAGTTAGCTGTTCTTTCCTCTTTATAACGGTTTGTGTATTGTCAGACATGTACATGTATGTGTATATGTGCAGTGTATAAGCAGGCCGGGCCAATTTGATTGGCCCGGCGTTTCCTGACCTTTCTGTAGTAAATGCGCCAATGCATCAGCTGTTGCCTCAAGCGTATTAAAATACATGCAGATGAGAGTTTGTGCAGATGCGACGCAGACCTCGCAGTCATATTCAGTAATTTTATTACACAAATCAAAGTGCGTTTGTGGATAAACATCCATTTGCACACATTATGTGTCCACATATGAATATATGTACAAGACGTTCTTAACAGACTGGCAGAATAACTTGTGCGCCAATTCACTTACACAAAATCTTTGCAATACACAGATTGAATTCTTCCAATCTTTTGTGTTGGCTTAAGTTGGCTGGAGCTTTCCATGATGCCATTAGAATAGTTAAAAATTTGTAAACATAAATTCTTAGCTTGCTTAATAATGGTAAACAACTGTCGATTGGTTCAAATACGCGGTACATTTACAAATACAAAGAACCAACACAGTCAAGATAGTGGCGATTTTTAAATAATGGAATTGGCACTGGAATCTGGTATTTATTGTTCCTATTCTCAAATTAATCGAACTAGGTAACAATATTACCTTTTTTTCGGATTAAAAAATAATAAATGAATGGAATTTCTAATATTTAAAATCTAATATTTATTTTAGCTTTACTTAAGAGGTGAGTCAGCACTTTTGATAGTTTCTCGAGAAGCTAGTTATGTTGCATTTAAGAATCACAGCACGTCAAAATGAAAGCAATTTAAAGCTAGGCAGTTCTATAGAATATTGCTTTTTCGGAATTCCAACAAGCAGCGATTGACGTCTGCATGTCAACTTAGTAGATTTACATATTAATGCTTACCTTATCCGAGATTTTTGAAATAAGCCTTTCAGAAGATGTTGTTGGCGTTGTATGTTGTTGTATGTTTTCGCTGGCTACTATACTTGTTTGGGACACTCCAGTGGTTTTTTTGCCCCGTCAAGCTAGAAACCCCATTCTCAGACCTGTTTGACTACATTGGGGTACTCTGGTCCCAGCTTTTTAGGTGCGTTTACTTGTTGTTTTATGCTCTGCATGAAACCTGTCGAGTGGTCTGAAAGTGGACTAAACCTTGGGCACACGTGATTTAAGCATACAAGGTACTCCCGAAGATACGCACTGGGGTCACTGGTCTATCATAAGGATCGCCGAATTCTCCTACTGCTGGGTTCGCTCTGGAAATCGGCTGCCACCGGTACAATCTTGGATCGATGCTGTACCGAGAACTGTGTCTGGAGACCATTGAAGAGGTCAGCCTGCACAATAGCATATATATCGCCCGGCTCTTAAGACTATACTTGTATTTTATTAGGTGGTAGCTATATATATATTTGAGACCAGAGCTCGTTCGGCGTTTGCTCCTCGTGGGACTCTTCGGTGCACTCGCCGTGGCACGGTTAGGTGTAAGTGCTTAGACACTTGTGTTTTGAGTTGCAATCCGTGTTCAACAGCGATCATCGAAACGATTTGTCCCTCCACTGTTCATGCCTGAAACGATGCTTTTTAAACGTATGCAATTAGCGCTGCATTAACGGCCCTCGTTGGCTCCCGGCTATAATTCTTCCAGTAAGAGAACCGCTCCTTGGCTGAAAGCTCGTCATCGCAGGTTACCTTAATCCTACGCAGCTACCAGCCCGCAACCAAGGACTGAGGTGGTGGCCTACCCTGTTCTTCCAGTTCTGCCAAGAAGCAGTCTTGTTGCGGAAGATCTACTTTTTGTTGTTATCAGCAATAAGGACACCAACAAGAACCATTTTATCCATGGAACTAGTCCGTACGGCGACGACCCTGGCGCAAACAAACTTTAATTGGAGGATATACTCGGCGCGTCGTAGTCCTTCATGCGCCAGATTTTTGCTTTCGCGTGTAACAGGGCAGCCAGGTTGCGTGCTAGTTGCAGCCATTCCAGTCTTAGAAACTGGTTGACCAACCAGTTTTCTATTATGTACACCTTCCGCTATGAGACCCTGTTCCGTTGGCATGCCGAGTACCGTCTGAAATTCTCTTCCCACTCAAAACAAAACCGGTACATTTTAGACTGGGAAATGTTAAGATTTGATTTATGTTTTATATTTGCTTAAAATACATTATTTATGCAAAACAATATTTAATGAATTCACGTTTGAATGTTTATTGCTTGTGTTCAATTCAATTTTAAGCTAATGTGCTTGCGGATCACACTGTAAAAGCCGCACTATTGAAGGATCACTTTTTGCCCCTTCTATAAATTCATCCAGGCTTAATTTACCGTCTTTGTTTCTATCCATTTGACGAAAAATTTTATCCGTCCTTTTCTCGGGTGTGCTTTCATCTTCGGGCATTTTCATGACCGATCCAACCATTTTATATATTGCCTAAACAAAATTGAAGTATAACGTATAACTTATTTATATTTAGCAATAATCTTAACGAAACAGAAACAATTTTAATGCCGTTTTAAAATAAAAGAATTGAAGAATTTAATACTTATATTATTTACCGTAACAATTTCAAGCATTTCCTGCCGCGATATGTATCCATTTCCATCTAAGTCGTACATTGAAAATGCCCATTTCAGTTTTTGCTCCAGTTTTCCACGGGATGTTACACTTAATGCGCATAAAAATTCCCTAAAGTCAATAGTTCCATCGCCATTTGAGTCGAATGTTCTAAAAACATGCTCTGCAAACTAAATATAATTTTTGTTAAATATGTTCTTACACTTTGCGGAGGATATCAATTGTAATCGAATTAAAGGTGGGACATCCGCCTAATGTACACAAATAATATCATGTGCGTCTGTCTGTGCCTATGTCAAAACTAAACACCACATGTCTAGCAGTCGGGTGCATCAGGCTACAGATCTGATTTAAAAGATTGGTGCGTTTGAAACTTTGTGCATTTAAATTATCAGCCTCCAATGTTTGAAACATTTTGACAGTTTATCGGACACAAGTTTTGATCTATCACGTTTATACCTTAATCGGACTACCATGTGACTATACCCTATACTATAGGGCGTTACAATATTCCCACCAATAACGCTCAAATATCCATCTTAATGTGAGTTATCCTGATTAAACTTGGCATAGTTCCGCCTTTTTCTGAAGCCCTTAATAGAACTAACTCTTCATTCCTGTTTCGTCAATAAAAAAGCTTGTCGGATTCATAAGTAATTGGTAGCACTACCCATCTCCTATATGTACATCACATTTTGAAACAAAAGATTTAAGTGTATGCGCTGTGTAAATTATTAATGGAATAAAAGGCACTTTACCTTACTTGCATCGCCATATGGAAAAAAGTTTCCATATATCTTTTTAAATTCTTCTACCGACAAATGACCACTAGGGCAATCTTTCAAAAAACCTTTATACCATTCTTGAATTTCAGCATCTGAAAAATATAAAAGAAACAGTATATTATTAATTTTAAGAATTGTAAATTGCCTTTTTTGTTAGTATGGAATGCTAATAAAGTGGTAATAGTGTTCTAATTGGAAGGATCCCAACGTCGAATTGCCATTACATGCTAGAATGCTTTTGAGCTTCCTTCTTCCATAGACAAAAACACAGGTACACCACTTTTTGAGCAGCTAATGTTGCGGTAGTGCATCAATGGGCACAAATGAATACCAAAGCCTTCTTTCCCAAAACGAAGGTGCACTAGGTACGACCTCTAGAGCCTTAAAGGCAGAGAAATGAATTAAGCATTTTGGAAAGCGTCGTGATTACATTGTTACCCCTGATATTTGGATTTCGGATGAGACCCCAAAATAGCAAAGCAAAATGAAATTATGCTTAAAAATAATGAGAAATCAAGATGTTGCGGACATATACCAACAGGAGGACAGCAAAGCCAGTAAATTGACATGGAAGTACAGTCGTCTTAGAAAAAGATTTCAATTTGTTAATGAAAGAAAACTCAGACTTTTAACTTCATCGATAGGAAATAAAATCTTTAGCGGGTAACTGGATTACCTGGACATATGTAATGTCTCAATGACCTTTTAATATGGTTTTTGAAATTAATAGAAATTGATCAACTTACCTGTGAATTCTGTATTTTGTTTTAGATCTTCCAAAACTTCAGGCTTGAGTTTACTATTTTGCTTTCCCATTTTTTGAAGCTGATTTCATTATAGTGGTTTCTTGAAATATAAAAGTAAGTAATATTTTTAATGCCTTATATAAAATCAATAAATGTAATTCATTAAAATAGCACAGGTATGAGAAAATTCATATAGAATATTCCAATCACAACAAAAGACTAACTAGCATATCAAATTAACACCGGACCCTATCCATCTGACAAGAAGCTTATCTCGAGTTTCTTACCGATCTTGACTTTAGCACAACGATCAGGACTCCGCGTTACATGCGTTAATAAAGTTATTATACCAATATTTTATGTATTGAATTGTTAGTCCCTACCTGGGAATATTAAATAAATAAATGATTCTTTAAAATGTCAAATACTAAATATGTCACTATTCTTTACAGTAAACACAATGGATTAAGCAAGACCCCTTTAGAACCGAATATACACTTGCCCTTACGGATTTTGGGTAATAAACAAAATGTTATCGTGCTCCGCCTATACAAAAGATATTTATCGCAGCTCCTTATTACGATATTTGCCTTCAACTAAACAAAACTTGAGCTCACTGCCTATTGTACTTCCTCAGAAAACTTGGTTGCTGCCAGCCCAAGAGCAAGGCTCACAACAACAACATACACTTCAGTGTATTTTGAGTGTTCGCCTTGCGAAAACAATGCTGGTCAAGAATCCAAAGCACGCGCAGCAGACTAAGTATGTTCAAATATTCTTGTTCACTTTACTTTAATAGTCTTCGGCTTATGCCTGAGAAACTTTTCATCAAAACCAAGATATATCGCTAAAAATTGAAAGAAAAGAAGGTTAAACACCCCTCCACGTTTACGAAAAATTTTAAAAATAACATTATTAATGTACAACTGCTCTCGTAAATATTTAAGTCGTGCTCAAGCCGTAAATAATATAATATATCAAAATACCCAAGGTATACAATGAGAACGCAAAAAGGACCTTATTGGACTGGGACCTTAGTTGTTAACAACTTTTTCAGTTCTCATAAGTAATCGCACTATACTCGACTTATAGATAGATATCGCAGATTTTTACAGTGCTGGAACTGAATCAACATATTCGTTCCAGACGTGGCTTAAAATGTAAAGTAGTCATTGAAACAAGTAACCTGATATTCAATATTTTTATATAATTTTAGTATAAGAAATATAAATTAAATATTTATACATTTCATTACTGATTTCATCAAATACACACATATTATGGGATATAATTATTTAAGGGGCCAGCATTTTAGACAACTCTTCATCCTGCAAACATCCTTTCAAAAATTCATCTTGAGTTAATTGACCATCGTTATTTTCATCCATTTTAGCAAATATATTTTTTGCACGCTCCTCTGCAGAATCAGCGGGACGATTTGATGAGCATGCTCCTAGCATGTCATAGATTGCCTGAAAAAATTTTACATCAAAATCAAAACAATTGATGACGATTAAAACAATGCAAGTATAGTTTTGTGTGAACAGTTTTATAAGATGCTTAGCCAAGCCTAAAAATGTCTCAAATATGCTCCTGGCCGCCGATGCAATACAACATAGAAGGACCTAGGACTACTATTGAATCCTGCACGGATATGGGCATCAGCTGCAGTAAGTAGTAAGTCAGCAGTCCTAAGCGTTATTTCTGGATTCCGGACGGTATCAAACGAGGCAGCCACAGTATTGGTGGGCATGCGGCTAGTAGCATCATTGGGAACTTATCAGGAAAGATAAACCGCGGAGAGCGAAGGGACGTGGCCCCACAAACTAATTCCCAATCTAGAGCTATGGACTCAACTATGGAAAGGAGGAATAAACTTTTACCTAAAATAGTCAACCCATCCCGACGAAGTAATCTTTTGTGGGGGTGAGTTTAGTACGCACGCAGTGATTTCTGCTTCGGCCTCTTACATACTTATAAACAGACGCATTATTATGTCATTTTTACCCATTTTTAAAGGGATCAGGTTATACGAACAGACACACTCTACTAAAATATCTCTCAATCTAGTGCACTATTTTCAACCCCATTCGTTTCAAATGTTTTAAAGAAAACCATATTTCAGTATTTTTTGTAATGTTCGTAATGTACCTGAACAATTTTTGTCATTTCTTGAATGTCAATAACGCCATTTCCATCGACATCATACATTCTAAATGCCCATTTTAATTTTTCTTCTGGTGTGCCGCTAGAAGTAACATCTATTGCGAGTAAAAATTCCTGCCAAAGAAAAAGAGAAAAAAAACGGTATTGATGTAAAATTGTTTAAGAGCGTGCAGTGCAAAAGTCAAAACTAGGCAATATGCAAATTAATTATTTATCGTTTTTTCTCGCTTTATTTTAGTTCTTTAATCAAAATAAATAAATTCTTCGCACTTAAGTTAATTACTAATGAACTCTTTGACATTTTCGACCATTTTGTGCTGTAATTTGGGACATAGCGGGTTTTTCCGATAATATCATTGTCAATGTTTTTTTTTAGAAGAGAACTTTTATTATTTCTTTCTTTAGCTAAGCTGAACTGTATTAAATTAAAAAATGTTGATAAATTTTACAAAGTTACATTGATTTTTCGACCAAAAAATAAAAATAGCAACTAAACGAAGGTCTTTCCATAGATGTAAGGAATAAATAGATACTAAAAGACATATTAAGAGATATTATATTATAATATATTATAAATATCTCGGTGCTGACACGGATCTAGAATACATTTACCTACTAAAACATCTGCCCAAAATGCTCTGTAAATTTCAACTGTGTTTGCGTTTAAGCAAAAAGGTCTTTCGACTGCATTCACAAATACTTGTATACTGGAAAAACATGGTTGTATTGCTTAAGCGCAAATTACAGTACTTTCGTGTAACAGGTAACACACCTCAGGGACAAAAAAGGTGCATTTGTCGTATTTTATAAGCTAATTAAGCTCTTAACAAAAATGCATATAAATGTATCCCTTTCTTGTTAATTGATGTCATATAATTGTAATTGTACAAAAAATAAAAGTAATATTTTTAAGAAAATTGTAAAAATACAAAAAAAACATTAGAGAAAAACGAATACTTATAAAACAATTATTTTACAAAGCAAATGCTATTATTCAAGTAATTACCTTAAAGTCAATATAGCCATTTTTATCCATATCGAATGTACGAAAAACATGGTCACAGAACTCTTCCGCATTTCCAGATGGGAAAAACATTTTATACATGTCAACGAATTTAGCAGGAGTCAAACGGCCGTTGGGACAGTCTTGCTACACGAAAGGTAACAATGCATATTTGTATAAGTTAAATCGTTCAATATGAAAGGCTGTGCGAGACTCACCTTAAATCCTTTGTACCATTCTTTTATAGTGGCTTCATCATAACGGGTGTGGGTTTTCAAAAACTCCATATCTTCTTTTGTTAGGCGATCTTTACTACTTAAGCACCCCATTGAATATGTAGATTTTCACTTTTAACAATTTGATATAAATTTGTTTTTAATTTGTCAATATGATTCAACTCGTTAACTATTACGCGTTTTTCTCAGTATTTTATAGTATGTGGTTAAACGTTCAATCAATATTAATATATGTTAATAATATTGCATTGTGTTTACGATATGTATTCAATTTTTATATGGTATTTACATTGCATTTCTACTTCGAGTGCTTTAGAAAACTTTTTATTAAACTATTACCCAGTAAGTTGTTAACGCTAAGTGAACCGAAGGACTAAAACAGATTGACTTATGCGCATGCGCAAAAATTATCTGTATACAGCCTGATTATTGAGTTACCAATTTTTATTTTCTGTACACAGTAATAACTTGCTGTTCCCGTAAATAGGGTTGCCACCCTAAAGTTTTAATTCAACATGTTTTTATTGCCCAATACTTTTCTATTGTTAATATTATTATTTATCTCGTTTTCTTGCAATATACATGCTTAAATAATTTGAAAATGGCATAATAATTGAACTAGATTAATTGTAGGTCAAAAAGTTTCGATTCTTCGAAAATATGTATATAGTAAAGCCGAATTTTGAAATGAAAACTAAAGAAAACAAACAAGATTGCCCTGGGCAGGAGTGCCTGTCCAGAAGTTGCTGAAGCTTTTTTTAACAAAAACAGGCCGGGGAAAAAAATCGATGATTCGAAACTAACTTAATAAGGAAGGACCATAGAATTATCTATTATACCATTTTTACCATTCTCCAATAGGGTCAGGATATAATTAAAAAAAAAAGAACATTTATTGCATCAACTGAAGATAAATACGCGACTTTCGACTTTTTACCTAAAGGTATCCCAATAATTAATTATACAGTGTATATTATTAGAGAAGCTACATGTCAAATTTGGCGAGTCTTACTCCGAACACCTAAGACATATGCTCAAAAAAACGAGAATTCGATATTCATTCTTATAGATTGCTTGGAAACGGGGCATGTTATCGATAATTTGAAAGCGTAATGCGCGGGCAGTAGGAGAACCTACACAATAAACCGAGGGAAGAATAATTATTTTTTACTTAAAATATCAAGTAGGATTCGTACTATACTTGTCTTAAATCAAGTATTCAATTGTAGAAATAGGTCGAAAGCTCTAGACTTGAAATAAAAACAAAATTTATTTTATGATTCAAGTAGTCAAGCTAAATGTGAATCCTCGATTGGGAAGAGAGCGAATGCAATTTTTGAATAGGCTAATAATAAGAAATACTGCTTTCATTGAATTGCGTTAGCAACGAATCGCAAAAAAGTTGTGTTCTGCAATCAAATTCGTTTCTGCTCAAATCAAGACATCGTTTGAAGAAGATTAAAATTGAGAAATCTGGAACTGAAGATAGATAGGGGATAGATAAATAACTAGCTTAGGCTATAGTATGCACTAATTACAATTCGAGGCGCGAAAATATAATATTTCCATCAAGGAAGATGACAGTGCGAAAGCGTTGAGCGAAGCGAGTTAGATCGATTGAGCAGAAAAAGTAAAATATTCAATTGTAACTATGGATCAAGATCTAGTCGGTAGTGCGCGACTAGGAGATTCCTTGAACGTTTTAGTTTCCTTCTACACATACAGTCAGGAAATTAGAATTACAATCACACACACTGCTGCTTCTTCCCTTAGCCTCACACTGCAAGAAAAACTTGCTCTGTGTTGGGGCATAAAAATGGCATATTGCGAAATCGAAAAACATGTCTTTTAATTTACGGAAAATTAGGTGAGGTATCCAGATCTGTGTACACTATATATGAGCACATATATACCAAATTTTATGTCTCTGCGATTTGAGTTCGAGTAAAAATGGGAATTCTACGTTTAAGTCGGTAGCTTTAGGACCGAAAGGCTGCTGTGATTTCAACATTATAAATGATCCCTTATCAAACTGAGCAGATATATATTTATAAATATCGTGAAGACTTCCGAAGATTAAAAAAATACAATCAAGTATTAGAAAAAAATTAAGAGTAGGGATTGCAGACTCAACGATAAATAAATTCAACCTATCCTTAGCTCTCACAGTCTGTGAGATCAATAAGTTTTTACGTATGGAACAGCAAAGCTTCTCTTCGAGCTCAAAATTTTATAATACTCATTTTAGATTCATGAAATTTTCTATAAAACATTTCTTTTCTAATAAATAAGCAGTCGATAATGACGACAGTTGATAATTTGTGGTAGCATCCATTTGTTTTTCCATAATAAGAGTCATATTTAAATTTATCCTTAGAAATAAATCAATCTTTTTAGTTTGATTTACAACTGTGGTATTCTACGTCGCTAAATCATGTAAATATTTTGATATTATGCCAACAAAGTTACTTACAGGTCTGTTCCGGCTTATACATTATTATTAGCAATTTGGTAAACGGAATATATCAGGGAATGATTCATACCAGCGTTCCATCTAGCCACATTTCTTTACTAAAAATGGTTTAGGAATAAAAAAAAAGAGTTAATAAAATCAACAGAAAAGCCTGATATTTTTAATTTTCACAAACAAATCGATGTTTTTATGAGCTCAAATTTGGATTCTTAGTCCCTGAACCCCAATTCCACCAAGGAGGAATGGATTTACCGAAATGTGTGAAACACCAGTCAAATGGACTTGAACGAAGATCTTTGAAAATGTAAGTCAACCTAACAATTCGAGCAAAATCAAATGAACATGGAAATACTATACTATATAGCTCCTTCACGAGTAACCGATCGGAAATTGAAACTTAAAAAAGAGAACACATCTGCAATATTTCTGCATAGTATGGTATTTTTATGATATTTAATTGGCATCCAGAGGATAACTGATCCACCGATAAGTGTTAAAGTACAGTAAATCATTTTTCGGCTGATTCTTCCCATAGAGCTATATGATATAGTAGCCCGATGTTGATTAGATTCGGTTTATACATGTGGAGCATGGTAGAGCTCGTAAAAGTCAAGTTTGGATTAGATATCTTGAAACACAAAAACCTTTTCCCACAAAAACTTATTTTAGCACATCTTTCCTGTGGCTATATAACATAGTAGTCCGACTCGGTCAGTTAAGTCATATCTACCTTTAAAAATGGGAGTCGAGTTGACAGACGGACATACTAAATACAGTCTTCGGTCGGAGATGTTTTCTTGAGAAGCTATTAACAATGCAAATGCCACAAGAAATCTGTTGAGTATAGCATAGAGGTTTAGGGCTTAACGTTCTATAGCTGCTGCTGGCATCGGAAACATCGAATTAGCTAATGGCATCTTGTATCTTACGGAGTCAACAAAGCATCAGTTGCTAACGAGTTGTTAGAAAGCTTTTGGGAAGCCGAAGCTATTATTTTTACACATATATTTAGTTACATACATATTAAAAAGCGGTTTATCCTAACTTATACAAAATGGGTAAAAATGTTTTCTGTAAATAAATAAATGATGCATAAGGACGACCAGAGAAGAGCTAGAGACCCCGATTTTGAGCAAAAGTTTTCGTAGATCATAAGTTATGATAAGTTGAGTTACGTTTTTTGAGCATATATCGCAGTTTATAAAAGTTTCAACATTAAATTTGACATTCATATTCTGATTTATAGCACTCAAATCAAGAAAATTATATTTATGGGATGTCTACAAGCACTCCCTCCAAATAATAAAAAAAAAACCATAGGTAAAGCTTTGCTTTTTGGAAAACACACATAAAGTATGATAAAAGTCTATGTATTTCATAAAAATCGGACAATAATGACACAAGGTTCTCAGGAAAACTCATTCATAGTATATCGGACGCTCTAAAGTAGACTACTAACTTTTTTAGTCAAGCTGTGACTAATAGTTTATAGTCGCAAAAAGTGCAATGTATTGACGGAGACATCTCCAACCGAACCCAAGCAATATAGCTCACGAATCTTTGAAATGGTATGGTAAATCTTTCCTACGCAGGTCTGTTTTTACCACCTCCAATATTATTTGAGTCGGCCATGCAAAATAAGTTTTATAACCATCTCCGGCCATACCCGACATATACCCTTGGTGTGCAATAGTAGCCGGATCGATAAAACCCTTTCCATCTGTGTGTCCGTCCGTCTGTAGGAAACTATGGAACCCAGAGCCTTTGGTGTACCTGACGAAAGACAAAAGCAAGCTAAGCACATTCTCTGTGAATGTCCAACCATTCCTTGGGATAGAAGGTGGTCCCTATGCCCAGGCATAGTTTGTCTCACCAGCTCCCCTTTATATGGAAGGTTGAGCGACTCTTGAAGACTCATCTTGGAGTAGACCCACTCTATCGCTCCTTTGAGACTTTCTCTACTTATTATTGCGAATTCTCCGAAGGTATTGGGTAAATGTATACATCCAATTGCATGCGTTCGCTGTTCGTCGCAGACTCAATACTGTTCAAGAATATATAACTATGTACATACATGCAAGTATTACAGGCTCACACCTTACAGGATATATGAGAGCGCGTTTCTTAAAAGGTAGCAGAAAGGAAACTATACATTTGAACAATATAACATATAGTCAGCGCATCTTGTTATCTTGTTGCCCGCACGATAAATCAAAGTGATATACATAATTACATTTAGTTAACCAATTTTCGTTGAACAGAAAAATGATGATATAAAGCATTTTTTAGAATAGCGTACATTAATCAATATTTCAAGCCGTACGTTTTGTTGACATTATTTAGTTGAGTAGAATTATTTGTAAAATAAGTACAGCGTTTAATTGAGCATAACTAGGTCAAAATTCCCTGATCCATTTGTTATATTTAACATGTCGGCACTTATGGGAATATAATTACAATTGAGAATAGAAAGCTCGAACACGGGCAGGTGATTAAAGGTGAAACATAATAACAAGCTAGTTATGCCGAAACAAGCTCAATTAGGGATATTTATTTGAGTATGGCAATATGTATGTATATGACTTATAAATAAACACTGCGAATATTGGGACACGGAAATAAGCATATCTGCATGCAGTATACATATACATATACTTATGTGCACACATATACACACGCACGCACATTTAATGTACAAATAAACAAATGTATGTTTGAACACACACTTATTCGCCATGTACGGCAATAAAATATAGCACATCAAGTATAATTCCTACCTGTAACATTTAACACTATAACTAAATTTGTGATACACTCTTAAATTAAACAGATTAACATATAATTTACTTAATGGCAAAACAATAGCTTGAGCAAAACACAATCAATACAATAATTTGTAGGGTGGCTTTTAGGGATGTTGGATAAGTATCGATGTATCGATATATCGATATTCAAAAGAAAAGTACCGATACTTAAATAATATAGTTGACAACATTAATTATTGTATTAAAATATTTTTTATGTATTTAAAAATAATTTATAAATATGAAACCGAGTACTAAAAAAAATTATACATATGCATTAAAATTTAATTTGACAACAATTTTGAATATTTGTTTTTTCTATAGCCAATATTTTTAATATATTTTAATCTTTTATTGGCATTATATGCTAGAATAGTAATTGCCATTTAATTAATTATATATTTATTGAATACATTTATTTTTTAAACTTTAATATTGCTTTTAAAAATGTAATAATTAATTAGGAACCATCTGAAGGTCGCAAGAGTTATTTATGTTTGGTAAGCATTATTTAACAAATATGTTCTTTATATTAAAACTTAACTTTAGAAGGAGCTGAGATAAGTGATATATTTGTCAGACGTAATTTATGTTTAAAGCTTCGAAGAAATAAAAATGCGATTGACTGAGAATCGTGACATCGGATCGATTGATCGAAAACATAATCGAGACACAAACTAAGGCATCGCATTTGATATCGCACTCAAACATGCTCCACAGAGTTTCTCTAGGCTTTAAAGTCAACCATTTCGCGACCGGCACAGGATCAGAGATCTAGGCGCCTTCGTTCCAGACGACTTCGCGTGTAGGTTTGACAATTACCCAAGACAGGTGGTTGGAACGCCCAAATGGGTGAGAGGTAGACATGATCTCGCAAGCAGTTGGCTTTGCAGGTCGAGTGTGGTGCCGAACTTGACCTGGGTTCCTAGTGTAAACCCACTCCTAGCCAACTTGGAACTAGTCCATTTTGCCCAGTGATTTTCTAGCTGAACTGCCGGCCGTATCCGATCCTCATCCCGTCGTGCTACAGGTCTTCTCGACATTAAGGACGACATTCGATCATAAGGGTTTCCCCGACCTCCAGAGCGGACTCATTTCCTTCTAAAGATCTTCGTTGAACAGGGGTATAAGCTTATTAAAGAAGACTGCATGTCAGACCTTGTCAAAAGCGTGACAGTACTTTGTGTAAGGTGAAGGTGTAACCTTGTGGATCTATCAACTGTCTGCACAGACGGATCAGTCGCAGTAGCAGAAAGCTAAGCACCGAGGAGCTAATCAACGTGGTAATCAGTGCCTGGTACTGTCAATAGTATCGATGGGGGAGCATCCCCCAGACAACTTTGGCGTGTCGCCGTCTATTCGGTAAATCCTAGCCGTTGGTGCCTGGGGTCACACTCGCTCCCGAGCCCAACGCTCCCTATGGGTAACGTTGGAGTCACAACCACGGACATCCTTGCCAAATAAGGAAGGACCAATGCAATGTAAACTAGACTTCCACACCTAAGGACCAGAAAAGGTATTTGAAACCCCGTCATGTAAATTGTATCCCGTTGTCGAACACGATCTTTGAATAACCGTTAGATTTCACACTATTTCAGTTGCTTGACAGCACAAAACATACTTGGCCAGTAGTACCTATGAGCCTATCTAGAGCGACGTCTTCCTCAAATCTTGATGTCTGTAACACTAACTAACCGTTGACAACTGGGGACGCAGGGTCTTGTGTCTCAAGGGTCTGTACTGTTCTCTTCGGCGTACTCGATACACTTTGCAGGCTCTTCAGCAGCCCGCCAATGTTGAGGTTGCCTCCACGTCCATTTCTTGCTCTTCTTCAGGAGCGCCGTTAACGGCTGTACCTGTTTTACAAAGTTTACGCCTTTTCGAAGAAATTATAGTAGCTGAGAGTCACAAGGGACTTATAATAAGCTGACAGATTAAATAAAGCTAGAGTTTATCCACAGATATTTTAAGAACCTCCCTATAAGAAATTAGATAAGTGAAAACTTTAAGCAGAGCGAATAGTAGTATTCATTTTTTGTCGTAATGTAAGCGCAATATATTAAGATGAACAATTTTCTGTTTAACCATTCATTTTCGATAAATATGGGGTCCCATTCAACCAAAAATTCAACATTAAGAGAAAATAACATATCTTTATAATTATGCCTGAATGTGAATATTATATTTCAAATAAGGAAACAAACTTAAAAAGAGCTGGGAAAATTAAAAATAATCGCCCTGTCAGCTTTTCAAACCTTTAAATGGTTGGGAATTACAAACGTCAAGCAACGCGACATTCCAGAGCCCATTTCCAATGTATTTTTCCCATTTCCAAAGAAATTGTTGATAAACAATATCAATTATATTAGAAATATAAGTAAATGTTCTTATTTATTTTTCTTTTCATAAATTTCAGGTATTTGTGTAGGCGTGTACGATTTGTCTTGATAAACGACACCCCATTTTTCATGGACAAAATGTATTTGACGCAGAACCATGATTATCTACAAATTAAAATTTGGGTAGCCAATTGTTATGCAACATACATTTATATGTACATACAACTACTTGAGCTCCACCAGTTAACTTACGTATCTCACTTCCATTTTGAACGTCGTCCATCCGCAAGACCCCTTCGAGACCTCAGTATTGAATATTAAGGTAAAAAATGAGCAGTTTTTTGGTTAACGTCTTGCCAAAGGCTCACACGTATGCGAGAAGTAAATGCAGTATTTATGGTAAGGCTCATTTTTTTAAATCTAAATTTAAATGTATGTGTATGCATGAAAAAACTGTAAGTGGCTAATTTTATTTTAGGAGTTAATTGTATGAAAGCTTATTCTACAAATTGGGAGCCCAAGGAACCAATTGTGCGTACAAAGACAATACCTGGACCAAAATCAGCTGAGCTTAAGAGTCAATTGAGTGCAGTTCAGGTAAGAGCATAAACTCCCAATCTTTTGGAAAAAACCTGATTAAAAAATGAGCTTAAATATTATATTGACACGAGTCGGTAAAGCTTATGGGAACATTTAAATTGGAGCTTAAATAAGCTGTGTAGGTTTATACTCGATAAGTAAAGCAAATCAAAGTGGGACTCAAATTAGCAATTAAGACTCAAATTAACGGAAGCTTACATTAAATTTAACATAGGTCAACAATAAACAACTAAATTGGGTGCGGGTCTCTATAATATATTGTCATTGTGCTGACCAGGCGCCATTTGGCAACCGACGCCATGGCCGCAATCATCGCGGAGACGTTATATGAGACCGAAACGAGACGCAAGCATTATGCTGAACGGGGTTGCGACATAGAGTAGGGATAACTAACTAACTAGTATAAGTCATATATTTGGCAAATTGGTTTTTATTACCTGGCAAGTCCAACCGTCAGCCATAAATCAAGTATATTCATTAACTAACTAGATACGCGCCAAGAGTCGGGCGATAACTTGCATGCACATATGTTTTAATTGACATTTTATTATTTATGCATGTAGATATGTATTCAATTTAACTACGTGTGTACATAATTTATTGGGGTACTTTATTGTCAGTCCGATTGAAACCCAAAGTCTGATTGAAATGCCGTTTAGAGAATCTGATCGCCAGGTCAGGCTCAAATGTTTCAACTTAAATTGATATAAATGGAAAATAAATTTGCTAACGCATCAGATGGCGAAATGATAGTAATAATAGCCACTCGGTATTCTCGGAAATAAAATCAAAGGTCCTGCCGATCTGTTGCTATCCATTCCAGACTTTGCTTTACGTACGCCGATACACGGCTCATTTCTTTAATACAATAAAAACGTTAGACTCTGCGTCAAGGAAACTTGGCTACGAGGAGATCGAACGTAAAACGGACGCACCTAGACAGGACCTTGGCTTAGGGATTTAACGAATTCAATTGACACAATTTAAATATAAAGCTTAATCAATATTTTACAGAGTACGGGCACTGTACAATTCTTTGCCGATTATGAAAAGTCGACTGGAAACTATATTTTTGATGTTGATGGTAATGCTTTACTAGATGTTTACACCCAAATTTCATCAGTACCTCTTGGCTATAACCATCCGAGGCTCCTCAACATTTTCAAGGATGAAAACAATTTGAAAAGTAAGTTGACTTATTCATTCATTTAAAGTTGAATACTATTTATTTATTATAAGCATATACAAGTTAACAAGTAACCCTCGCATGAGCTAACGATTGCCCTCACACATCAGATTCTTCAGTTTAAGTAATTTGGTCGCAATGGTCAATCGTTTGTCGGTTTGCTGGCTATAACTCTGTAGCTTATGCCTCTGCTTATATCGACACTCGATTTACAGTTCACATTGCTCAGTTATTTGCCGTATAAGAATACTAATTCATTGCTGAGCCATAAGGCCAGTAACTTTACCAAGTGAAGTTGAGTACAGACAACTTGGACATTGGGATGAGCAAGGACGCCCACCGACACCCGTAACTAGATTTGTTGTAGAACAAAACTACATAATTTGCGCCCAACCATAATAGGAATCTACACCCTACTGGAACTATTGATTTGTTAATATAGCCCCCAGCAAAAAAAACATAGGTGGTTTGTTATGTGTAGGCTCACACATGCGCCCTGATTGTGTTACGCCGCCACACATTGCATGTGAAGAGCTCGTTTAGTATGCGCTGATGATTCGGTCAGGTCCATTTAGATAAGTTCAAATCGAATACGACAATGATGACGGGTGGAACATACAGCTAGAAAATAGTTGCCCGACACAAGACCAAACGAGAACAGACATGGACACAAACCAGATGCAAGCTTTAATAGCTGGCACTGTAAGCCATATTTTCACCCAACAAGAAACAAGTTTAATAGAAGAAACTAGTAGAGGTAGAAACCCACAAAAGAATTTCTATGAGCCTAAACATCAGATATGCAATACCATAAGATATAATCAAATCAGTCCCCCAAACCAACGGCACTCAAGAATATGTATCTTGGAGGTAATTCGCCTGAGTATAATAAACTTAGCTTATGTGCTTCATACTCAAAAAAAAAAAAAAAACAATGAATTGTGTTATATTTCAGCTCTGATCAATAGACCAGCACTTGGTGTGTTTCCTGGAAAGGAATGGCCGGAGAAACTGAACTCGATCTTACTGAATATAGCTCCTAAGGGATTGAACAAAATCACGACAATGATGTGTGGATCATGCTCAAACGAAAATGCTTTCAAGAGCATTTTCCTATGGTATGTAAAGTTTTAAACCCATTTTGAGAAACATTTTACCATAGATAAACCCAAGTTTAATTATTTATTTCATTTTTCATGCGTTTAATGGAAGTATTGTTTTTTTTTTTCAGGTACCAAACTAAAATTCGAGGAGAAAAAGGATTCACTGCAGAGGAGATGAACTCATGTATGATTAATATGCCACCTGGCGCCCCGAACCTCAGTATTCTTTCCTTCAAAGGAGCTTTTCATGGTCGAACACTAGGAGCCTTATCTACCACACACTCAAAATATATACATAAAATTGATGTTCCTTCTTTTGACTGGCCTATTGCATCATTTCCGCAATACAAGTATCCATTGGAGGACAACGTTGCGGAAAATAAAAAAGAAGATGAGAAGTGCTTAAGTGAAGTACAAAGTCTTATAGAGGAGTACAAAAAGAAAGATAAGCCTGTTGCTGGTGTTATTGTGGAGCCCATACAAAGTGAGGGCGGTGACAACGAAGCTTCGCCTGAATTTTTCAGAGCTCTGCAGAAGATTTGTAAGACTAACGGCGTTGCACTTTTGATTGATGAGGTACAAACTGGAGGAGGAAGCACTGGCAAGTTTTGGTGCCATGAACATTTCAACCTCGAGTATCCACCTGATGTGGTTACGTTTAGTAAAAAACTGCAACTTGGAGGATATTTCCATAATGATGACTTCGCACCAAAAGAACCTTACAGAATTTTCAACACATGGATGGGTGATCCAGGAAAAGTAATTCTTTTGGAAGAAATATTGAAAGTTATTAAGGACGAGAAATTAATGGCAAATGTTGAAGCTGCTGGCAAAGTTTTAAAACAGGGTCTATTAAACTTAGAAAGCGAATTTCCCCAACTATTGAACTCTACCCGAGGACGTGGAACATTCTTGGCTGTCAACTGCTCTAACTCCAAAGTAAGGGACTCGATAGTCAGCACATTAAGGCTGAATGGTATTCAAACAGGTGGCTGTGGAGAAGTTTCCATTCGATTCCGCCCAGCTTTAATCTTTAAAGAAGCCCATGCAAATATTGTTTTGGATCGATTTAGAAATGTTTTACGCTCGCTGTAAGCTTATATATTATAAACAAGTGTGCTCTGAAAAATAAATATTTTATATAATCTATCTCGTCAATTCACCCAACGGTTACTTTGATTATAATCCTTAATTCCTAAGCATAAGTTAAGATAATTGTTTAACAGGGACGAATCGCTGACATATACTATCGAGACCACAGACAAGCCGATTTACTGCTTCAGAAATCAAATTATAATTGAAGAATTCCCCCACTTGCCGGCAGAAGATGCCAACTCGGCACTAAGACCGTTCAACGGCCAGTGCATGACTGCGCGGCTTCATAATTATTTAAACGAACATTATAGGAACGAATAGACCATTCCAGAACGAGATCGGATCAGACAGAGATTTCCTATACCAGTTTAGCAATGCTTCCATTGTTTTCATTGTTGTATTTATCACACATCTATGTTTTCGGTTAATGCGCTAGAACTAAGTAGACTGGGAGAACTTACCCCATCTGTTTAAATCACTGGTCTTGACGTAGGCCTCTCATGGCCCATAGTAAGCCTAATGTGCATTCTTTAGCGTGTGCCCTAGGCATGTAGTCAAGTGGCGGGCAACATGCAGCAATGTTATTTAGTCAGACTGAAGCTCCAACGTAGGTGAAGCTCTGGCTCGTTGTCCTTTAGTGAGGTCATTCCGCAATACAATATCACAGTCCTAGTATATGAGTCATGAGCCGTGCCGGCGGGATGTTACGTATAACTCTACCAGCCTAAAGTGAAACAAGTGACCTTGTTGACGATTGTCACTACCCCACATTTAGCTAGTTGGCGGCTGCGATAGAACACGTGTTTGAAATTTCTCCTTGTACTTCTACCAGCAGGGTGCTAAGCTGCATTATTGCTATACTTAGCTCCCAAGGTGAGTTGGAGTTTGCAATTCTGTTTAATCACATACTATTTGCGTGGCAGGTGTGCCCAGTGGCCTTCTCCGTTGCTGAGTTGGGTGCTATCTTAGCTAAGGTTGAGGAATTTCAAAATCCTCCTTATTTCGTTTTTATTGATAAGCGTAAACGTTTCGCTTTTCCATTAAGTTACGTTGAAAGGTCGCCCTTCACACAGTTATCTAAAGGGCACCAGGTATCTGAATGAGTTTCGGTACATAAAAGCCAGCCTCGTAGACGTTATAACGTATATGTTAATATGTTCAAATATAAATTCGAACATACTGACATCAATTATAAAAAGTATCTATAGGCTTTTAGCTCTATCCGGTAGAATCACAAGAATCATCAATGCTCTGTCGCATTTAGAGGCGAATTTCACCTTCGCGAAGCTCTCATCGACAGAGTTAGAGAAATATAAATAGATCCAGAAGGACTACCTTTTAATAAATTAGTTAATTTGGTTATGCTTCGCACCGGGTGATAGCTAAGAATCCCGATCTTTTTGGGGACGGAGAATCCTTTCTCAATGCATTACACATTTTGTGTGAGAGACTCAGTATTGTCTGGAAAATCAGAATAAATTTAATTATTATAACAATAAATGAATATTATTTGATTATATGAATACGTTACGTTTCGAATTCAATATTTATACAATACACTTGTATCGAACTTTATTAAATTATAATATTAAGCCTTTAACGATTTTTGTTCAAATATATATGCCAGGCTCATCTGTTTATTTTCAAATATTATTCTAAATCATCAATGGCTCCATTTCCGGAAGTTTCTAAAATATTTGAAGAGGTCTCATTTTGGCTCGAGCGTGGTCCCGAAACCAATCCATCGCTGGATTCTGTGGCCCTATTACCGAATTCTTGCATTTTGATAATCAACATTGCAAACACTTGCGCCGGTAAAGAAGATTGCAGCACTTGCAGGAGGCGTGCGGGCTGGCCACATACAACGATTGCGTTTGCTAAATGCTCGACGCCACTTTCGAAATCGCCACGAGCTATCAAGGTTTCACCTAGCTGAATTTCTTGAAGGAAATATCTGAAATGAATCATAATACATTGTTCTCTTACAGTTTAATATGCATGGAATAAGGTTTTAATAGATTGCAAGCAAAAACCAAACATTATATACAAATATTACAAATTGAATTCATACGCTTGAAACTTTTTTAACTTATGCAGTCAGTATTGAAACTGAAGCTTTAAATCTAAATAAACTACCAGCATTTCTTGAACGACAACTCAGTGTCTAAGCAAGTTTAGACTTTATTTATTGGAAGGCTAAACTGCAGAGTCGGCATATTTGTACTAAAGAGCGCTATGTAAAGTTGTAGTCCGCTGATGAAAAGGATTTACTGAGCCTTTGCTGACTCTGGCGGACATATCTATACGAACATATCACATAGCCAAAAGGCTAAGCGATCCGATCCGCCTGAATGCGATAATATTGCTGCGTGCAAAAGAGACTCGCCAATGCTGTCATTGTAACTGAATTTAAGTATGAATGTCTACGTTAATGGCCATGACATCATGACTAAACTCACGCACATGCTAGGCCTCACACAAATGCTCTTACCATATGAGCAATATATTGAGCCAACATGGGACTAAATAGATGCGATGGAAACAATCTGCCGGATATATAGAAACATGTCGCACATTTGTTCATGTCTGCTGAGCTATTCAATATTCTTAATGATAAAAATCATGTTTTAATTGGGGTTTAATCAATCTACTATAGGAACAATCAATAGGCGGTATTAGCACACACCTGCTTTATGTTTGGCCAAAGGTGCATTTTACTTTCTTATTGTTAACGTGAGAGTTTTAGGCTAAGTTAAATAAACAAAACGTTAATCGCCTATTCGTATAGAATAGTCATCTTTGGATTACTAGCCCATCAATTAAGAAGGCTATTTCGTGATTGCGGGGTATTGCGAAGTGCTCACTGCAACGTTCTTGCTTGTTTTTTTTATATATATATTATCATACATAAACTCCAATTGGAAACCAATTAGCAAATGTGCCGGAACTGTGACGCCGTTAAATGAAAACGCTTGACCGTAAATTTAAAGCCAGCTAGAAACTCAATGGATTGCTGTGCACATTGTGCACGCATGTCTCACACCCGTAATAATTGACAATTATTTATGCAAAAACTAGCCTGCGAGCTCTTAGAACAACGTTGTACATACATATGTATGTATGTATTTGTGTATGTATGTATGTAACATGACGGCGCGCACGCACGTGCATCCTTCGTTATGTAATATAGAAATAGAGTATTTCACAATTACCTTTCTATAGCTTCGTGGTCATTCAAATTAGGCATTCCTTGCTTGGCAGATCCAACTTTACGGTTGCGCCGACGGCCTGTATATATTATAATTATACACATATATATATATATATAGATAACAAAATGCACATTGTCGGTCAAAATTTACTTACGATCGCGGACTTTCTTTTTGTAGTCCGGTTCGCTGCGGCGTTTGTTGTCAAAATAAATGCAATAACCAATAAACAATGTGCCAGCCAGACCCGCTGCAATTCCAATTGCAGTTTTGTTTATTTCGATCATATTTAGGCAGCAATTTTTTTACTCCATGAACCACACTAAAGCTGCCAAGCAATCGATAACTCTGTCGATAGTATCGATAGTCTTAAAATTCGTTGTGCTGCAGTTGTTAAAACATCGGTCACGCAAGTATAATCGAATCTTTCGATAGTAAAATTGGAAACCAAATGAAAACAACGGAAACAAAACAAAATTTTTAATGACAGCTCGAATGTGACGAATTTGCGTATAATTTGTTTGAATAAATTTTGTATGCGTTCTTTGAAATAATTACATGTCTAACTTGTCACTGTGTTTAGATTTAATGTTGTGCCGAATCTGTGAAAACAATTCTGACGTGACTTAATTCCATTTTGTTTCTCATCGGATATAACCGCCAGTTTTTGTTTACATGATTGAACTGATCAAAAAATTAAAAAGACATAGAAATCAATACAACTCTATTGGAACACCCACCTAAACAGGACTTCAAAGACTGCGTAATAGCACAATACTTGATTTGATATACCGCTAACAATTATCGCGTCAGCAATTACTATAGATTCCTTCCACTCATATAGGTCTCTCTCTGGGGTTTCACCTGTTCCTCCTTTGTGCTGATTTCCCTTGTCTCTATATTCGGACCAGGTGGATGGACCTGTCCACCTTTCATTTAAAAACAGGAACTGAGGAATGTACGGAGAGCAACCTATAGTTTGGCAAGATAGCCGCGGGCTGTGCAACAAAGACCGCAGTTACCGCTGGGTAATCGCTTTGTAGTTCCCAGGAGTCACAGATTCTAGCATCAGGTAGTCCACGATGGACTTCCTCTATGTATTAGATGTATTCCTAGCCCAGCTCCAAGAACTCAAGCTCGCCGAGGTGAGTTAGCTTGATATACATGGAAGACTAAAATTCTTGGCGCAGAGGTGTTCGACAGTCTCGCTTAACAGGATCATATCGCATTCCAGATCAAACTGAGGACTTGAGGTTGGATTTCAATCATCTCAGCCAGCATAACAGTCCGTATATTGCCTTGGTCATATCCTTGACAGCGGACTATACTCATTCCCGTCTTTCCAAAAACCATAGAAGACCTTACCCAAAGTTCCCGATAGTGTGGCGCGGATAGGAGAGGCAGAAACTAAAATAATTCCAAAAGTATTTCCCGGTAAAAGGATTGCGTCAAAGCTGAAACTTGACTAACTTTCGTCCTTTTAGTAATTCCCTATGATTCTGAGAGGAAACTAAAAATCATACCGAAAGTACTTCCCTCGGAAAATGGAGCTCAGAAATATATCCTTCAGAACGCTGAAAGGTTTGCAACAAAACTGAAACTTGGCTAACTTTGGTCCTTTTGATATTTCCACAATTTTCTTAAAGGAAAGAAATATTCATTCTAAAAGTATTTCCCTTAAAGGGGAGGAGGAGGAGCTTCAACATTATTTCTCCATGTTTTTGAGAATAATGGGAACTAAGATTCATTCAATCTTTTTAATTTGTCAAAGAAATAAAAATATAAGTATATAAGAAATTAAATATACTATGTGCACAAACATGTTCATACGTAATATAATACATATAATATAAACATGAATTCCTTTTTTAAATATTAAAATGACTTTTACTGAGGAAATACTAGTTTTTTGCAAGGATCCGCCAGACAGAAAACATAAACATAAGTACTTTCAACTTTGTATTGTAAGGATTTGTAGCTGTATTTTATTCGAATGCTAGTTCCCCTTAAAGTATGTAACAATATTTTTGCTACTTGTATTATAAGCCCGAACACGAACCTATATAAGACCAATATAAGACCGCTTATGAAACCAATATTCTTGAGTATAAGACGAGTTTTACATAAACTGGAGTTCCGCACCCTAGCTCGGTTCGATGTTGCAACATGCAAATGTTATGTTGAACTACAGAGCGTAAACAGCAAAATAACACACACACACATGTACATATGTTTCTAAGACTGCTCTCTTTGGTATGGTCTGTTAATAGCAGTTAAGTAGGTAAAAGGGATTGATACTGTTCGTTCAGGTTTGACCATCGAGTAAGAAACCCACAGTTACACACTCTGGCGCAGTTCATACGAGCGGTCGTACGTCGCGGACGCTTTGAAAGCAATTCAACGAGCTGTGCGTGCGTACATACATACATAAATATAATAACGCTTTGATTTCAATAATCACAACAGCGATGTGTTTTGCGTGGTTTCTGTGAAAATAATTAATATTTAAAAAGTATGAAAATATAGTTCAAAAATACATACATACAAATGTACATACATATCTATATATAATTTTATTACAAAGTGCATACAAATGTATGTGTGAATGCATGTGAATATGTTTGTATGCGTGTTGCACCAATATTTTGAAAGCGGCGATTTGGTGATCTAAATAAAATAGTCTATTTCTCACAATTCGTTAGGTGCATTAAAACTTTGATTCATCATTCATGCATATGCCATTTGTTTGTTTTAATTTCGTTTGTACGCACATACATACATACATACTTAATATATATATATGTATATGAATGATTGCATACACTGCGCTTGTGTGAGTGTGCAAGCTAGCTCTGTTATGCTAAGCTAAGCCGCCACATGGCTTGTTTTTAATTCTTAAAAATGTTAAATAATTCGGCAACCTATTACAAAATTAAAAGATTACAGCGCACAGTTGAAAATATAAGATTCGTTTGAGTGATAACTCATAAAAAAATACACATGTAATTTTATAAGCCGTCCTGTATGTCTGGCAACGCCAAGATCGTGAAGTGTGTGGTAAATAATCGATAACTACCGATCTACCATCGTTAAGTTCGTACGCGATAGAGTGTTAACATTATTCACCCACCATTCATATGCACACATACAGACACGCATATGTTTGCTTGTAAATATTTCGAACAAGTGAAAAACGAATTATTTTAAAATGTGAAAATCAAAGGCATCAATGTAAACAGTGAATCCAGTTAAATTCATAAAGTGTGTGCCATATCAGTTGATCAAAATTTCATATGTAATATGTGCGCAACGAATTAATTTATTTAAATTCTCAATCTCGAACATAGAATTCGACAACAAAAAAGTTGAGCTAAGCTAACATATGCAATGCATGGATACACCTTAATGCAGCTTAAAATGTTATCAAAATAAATGAATGGTGCTTACCTAACGAAATATAACAGCGGCAAAGAGAAATCGCCGGCACAAAACTCGTCCAACAGCAACATCTGTCCGTGCACTTGCCCAGCGACTGGGGCACAGCTAAAATCGTTCTTGTAACTTAAAGTGCGTATGTATGTAGCTACATACATATGTATGTATGTGTGTATAAATACATGACAACATTTACAACAAACTGTCATACCTGTGATCGGACTTTTTTCTACCATTTTCAGTTAGTGTGAGTTCGGTCTGTTATTTCTGTGCAAGCATTTTTTTTTTTTGGCGAGGAGAGAAACCAATATGTAAAGCCCTGAATAATTTAACATAATTTTTGTGAAGTGAGAATAACATAGCCTGAGCTACATATCTATATATTTTAGTACTCTCCTCGCAAAAATATCCCCCGAATCCAGCACAGCAATATCTGAGGACTTTCAAAATGTATTTGTCAAAAATAATTGCTACTAGATAGCTTCGAAAAAGTGAAAAGGGTTCTACAATTTTGCAATTAAACTCTGTAAAAGTGTTACCAAATGTCAAAAGCAATTAACTGGTTGATTGAGTTGTAAAAACAAAAATGTATATTTACAACATGAATAAAGATAAACTAACAAAGCTGTTCATAGCAAAGCAGCAAACCGATTTCTGAATCGAACCGGTTTAAAGCCCGGATTCCAACCTTATAATTACCATAAACTGAACCCCAAACCGGATTAGCTGCAACCGAACCTAAGCCCTTTATTTTAAAAGTATGGTTTAATCAAAAACTAGTTTTTTTGGATAATTTAAGTATATTATTAATAATAGTTATTCCTTGAACCTGGATAAGAAGGATATAATGGGTTTTGGGAAATGTGTGCAGAAAACAGAAGGAAGCTTATTCTCTATGGGAATAAATTCTGAATAGCATCAATAGACGAGTCGATCTAGTCCTCTATATACTTCTTTATCGCTCCTTGCGTGTTTCTCACGTGCGCAACAGCATATTCTAGAGAGATTCCCTGCTCCGATGACCAAATCAGAACCCATTGCACCCAAGATTCATCGAGGCACACATGCCAACAGGCTCGCTAGCGACCTACAAAAGGGACCGTGGCATCCACGTGGAGGATAAGAGAAAGAACATTTTCCCAAGTACTCGACACCTTAGCACCAGCTACCACGCCCACCCACCGACAGGCCGAAGCGCTCACCTCCCCCGACAGCTTAATTATATGAAATATGTAAACAATATGCGAAAGAAAGATGCGAATATGGCAAGGCGGATAATGAATATTGTCATGCAAATAAAAAGTTAATTGTAGTTCTTTATATGAAGGAAATATCGAATCTATCGGAATTATCTCTAGCTCTAGTACAAAAATGTACTGTCTCTCATGCGCAGCTCGTAAATATTTGACTAGGGCGAAAAAGTCTACTTTGATCGCTTCTTTCTTCTATACTTGCTCCTAATAGGGCATTTTGTGGCCTGAGAATGGTTGAAAGATGTCCGTTTCGATCCAGCCAAATCTGTCTATCTAGATGTCCCGTATGAGGCTATAGCACAAACTGCATGCTTTCTAAACAGATTGCAGATCGATTTTTGATTCCCTTGACCACTTTTCAGACTTTATAAAGTGCTATATAAACTTATTCTTGATCAGCATTAGCAGCCGAGTCTATAAAGCCATGTCCAACTGTCTGTTTCTATAACAAGTCGGCCAGTTGCAAAGCGATTATTATTATTGTCTATATCATAAATGTAAATTAAGTTCTTGTAAAAGAAGTTTTCAATATAATTTGACAAAACTTGACCATAAAAACATCGACCTGCATATGAGAAAATGTGAATATAGGGACTTCTACATCATGTAGTTATATTCTATTTATAGCGTCAAAATAAAATTGATATTTTGAATGAAAAACTTTTCGGCTTTTCTAGACATCTTGATCAAATTTAGAAATTACGATCTTCAGAGTTTTTTCCAACTTCTGCAAAGGCGATTCTTGTCTTATACGTAAAAACAATTGCATCTTTGTAAACATTCTTGATTGTTTTAACTTAAAAAAAGTTTATGAGAAACAAGTTTCTTATGGTTTATAAAGTTTGCTCAAGTTGCCATGAAAGCAAAAACTTAGTATTGGTATAATTATTCAGTTGGAATTCGATATAGTAATCCGATCTCGATACAAAGTTTTACTGTCTTTCTAAACAAAAAAAAAGGATATTTACACTGTGCACGTTGTATGATATTAATATTTGACAATGTGCAAAACCATCTGCCTATTTATTTTTATTTGTACTTTAGTCCATTCGGAGGGGGGAGAGGAAAAGCTGTTAATATTGACAGACATTTACTTTATCACAACTTGAAATTCTTCATAGAATTTGATTTAAATTTAAAACATATAGTCCTTACCAAAATCTGATTCATTTGCACTCTTTTAATAGTCAGGTTCAGGAGAAATCTACTAAGCATAAAATGTAAAGGTTTTTCTATGCCCCCCTGAAGCTATCGACAATACGTAGAAAGGGTATTATGGCTAGATGGAAATGTATGTAACAGACAGAAGGGGCATCTCGACTTCCATAAAACTTTTATATTCCCGCCGAGCATCAATAATACAATAGTACATCAATAGTACTTATACCTTCTTCTCCGGAAAAGTCTAATACAACTTGAAATTTGAACGTCGACCAACTTATAGCCTGCGCGGATAGATAATCCACCCCAATTCTGTGAAACAGATATAGTACGCCTTTTTAAGGCTTATGAGAGCTAGGAGCTCTTTGGAAGGTAGGAGCTCGCTTTCCCTACGTTTCCTTTAAAAATGTTATAATCTTGGCCTTTTTCTATTGAATGAAAGTTGCATAAATATCCGCATAACAAGAGAGGAAGGGAAGTAGATGCAATATTGTATATAGAAGAAAGATACTAGGACTTAAGCTCGGCCGTGATTTCAAGGTATCTGTTAGTCGGGCATGCCCGACTGGGGCCGTCTGACTTTTTGAGGCAACTGATTTTGGTTTAGGGTTTGGTTCATAGTACAAAATTAATTGCCAAAAAAAAAACAATTAACAATTAACTTTATAAGAACTACTTAGTTAACTAGATTTAAGGCAAAGCTTTAAAGGTGCACGTTGTTTTAATGATTCTTTATTTTTAGGACTGAATACCATGTGGACAAAAATAGCTAATGTCTAATATGCATTTAAACAATTATGCCCAAACGGTTAAGAGAAAAAAAGCCTTTCTACTTCAGTGGACGACACTAATAAGTTTTATCTGCCTGATTCAACCTGCATTTTCAACGGACGAGGGCGATGGAAGTTCAATCCTTAATCAGAGGTCACACTTCGATAAAAGGGCCGACTTTGG